GTCACGGAAGGTGGCCCCCAGCCAAAGAGCCAACACACCTGGGGCTGCAGGAGCACCTGCCACCAAGGCCCAACACCAGACTAAGGATGGTGGGTACAGCACAGCATTCTGTATACCAAAATTTAAACATAAGGTCAGATAAAAAATCACACATCACATGGACTGAGACAGAAGGGGGAGAGAAATGCTAAATGCCTGAAGTAAAAAGGGAACTCATTCATCAAAAATTTCCATTTCAGAAGAGCTACCATTCAGTTTTACAAGCTATAAATGATTTAAAAGAGAGATTAAGATCCATATCTAATAGTCTAGTGATTTATAAAACATGCCCAAATTGGCTTCTGGCAACTAGAAGTGTTTGAAAATTAAAAATTTACAGGAAAAATAATTTCATCATCAAATCGGAAGATTTCATAAATTGCCAGAACAACTAACTCAGGTGAAAATATCAGAAATGGCCCCTGTATATAAGGCGTGGCCCAGACACCTCTGTCCTGCTGCTCCCCTGTCCCTATTCCTCTCCATCCACCCTGAGATGCAGGCCCGGGGACCCCCCGCCCTCTCTTCTCCTTCCTGGTTCCGGGGAAGCAGGCCCGACTTTACCCAGAGTCACCATTCTGCAGAGGCAAAGCCCTGGTAAAGGCCCAGTGTGCTCCAGACGGTGGGGAGGGGTCCACAGGTCCCCTCCCACTGCCGGTAGCAGCACAGACTGCCCCGCGGAGACGTGACGGAAGACTGATGCCACGTGAGAGGCCAGACCCATCTTACCTTGCTTTGCGATCCATTTCCTACAAGGCAGGAAGGTTGCTTTTTTCTTGTTTTTTCCATCAGGGTAGAAATTCTCTGCTCAAAATTCACTTTCCCTCCTAACTTTGTAGTTACTGCTCTATTACTTGTAGCATCCAGTCAGGCAATTTCATTCTCATTCCTTTAAACTGATCTTGGAAGAGTCTTTTTTGCACACTAATCAGGATCCACCCAGCTGTGGGCCTGGCTTTCACTCATCCAGACACTCAGGTGTCTCTGAACCTATGCCGGTTTCTGCCAATGTTTCCTGCCTCAGTTTTAACCCTGTGGATGGACAGGTAGCTGCTGCAGTCCTCAGTCAATCCTCTGTCCACATATCCTGACAATTCTGTTTCCACCTTGGTCTTTTTGCTACACATGCAGGGAGTTCTTTACCTTTGAGGTTACTAATTTTTTTTTTTTTTTTTGCATTATCCCATCATTCAATCCGTCCACCGAATGACTTGGCACAACAATTTTTTAATCAAAAATCATTCTGGGGGCTTTCCTGGTAGCGCAGTGGTTAAGAATCCGCCTGCCAATGCAGGGGACACAGGTTCGAGCCCTGGTCCGGGAAGATCCCACATGCCACGGAGCAACTAAGCCCGTGTGCCACAACTACTGAGCCTGTGCTCTAGAACCCGCGAGGCACGACTACTGAGCCCGCGTGCTGCAACTACTGAAGCCCACACGCCTAGAGCCCATGCTCCGCAACAAGAGAAGCCACAATGAGAAGCCCGCGCACCACAGGAAAGAGTAGCCCCCGCTCACCACAACTAGAGAAAGCCCGCACGCAGCAACAAAGACCCAACGCAGCCAAAGATAAATAATTAATTTTAAAAGATCATTTTGATTGCACCTTTTTCATAGCGGCCTTTTTTCGGTACAAACATTCTCAAATCTCAAGTAGTGCAATTAGGTTTTTACTTTAAAATTACTTTGTTCTCTGAATCGTTTCCCCCAAGAAAAGCCACTCTGTTGGTTCATCTCAGCCTTTGTCACATGCTGTTCACTTTCCTCCTCCATCCAGTGTGGATGACCCAGGAGACTGGCTGCCCTCATTTCCTCTGCACTTGTTTCCACCAAATACGCCCCTTCGTACAGTGGGGGCTGGCAGTGTAGACCGTGTCAGGAGGGCAGGGTAGGTTAGTGTGCAAGGGCAGAGACCAGGTGGGGTCCCAGGCAGCCCGAGGCCAAGTCCAGGAGGGTCTGCACCTAGGCCGTGGGGTGTGCTCTTCCCCAGGTGAGCGCTGCCCTCCGGCACGTCCAACGGGGCCGTCAGTGCACGACCTCGAACCCCGCTGCTGCCCTGTGCCAGTGTCCACACTGAGCCGCAGACAGGAGGCCTGCCCACGTCGGTCAGGAGCAATGCTCCGACCAGCCTGGGGGGGCGGGGCAGCCAGGCCCGCTGTCCCTGAGCCACTCCTCAGACTTGAAGCTGGGGATTCCCTGGGTTCAGGGTAAGGACGGCTGACCGCCTGAAAGCGTGCCATGTCGTCCTCGGGCGGCAGCTGCCCAGCCCCAGCCTGCGCTTCCCAGACCCCTGGATCTGTGCATGTGGTCGCCTTGGATCCTCACCGGGCACGTACTGGGGCTGACTTCCGCTCCAGGCACCAGGGATACACACTGCCTACAAAGTCCCTGCTCCAACGGAGCTTATGGATGATAACCCAGCGCATCTCAGACAGCAATGAGAGATGAATAAAATACACAGGGCAAACGTGACAGTGATGGGGCGGGAGGGAAAACGGTCATCCCCTTCCGGCTGGAGCTTCTCCGAGAACGGGACGGGAACAAGCCAGCCCGGCAGGATTCTGCGGGAAGGACGATCCAGACAAGGAGAGGCAGATACACCCCGAGACAGGACCCACCTTGGCAGCTTGCAGGCGCTGTGCGGCGCCGGGGCAGGGAGCGAGGAAAGAGGGGCAAGGAGCAGAGGCAGGCGGCGGCAATCAGGGCAGGACCAAGGTCAGCACAGCCGGGGCCTGGTTACTGTCACTACGAAATACAAAGGGCATGAGCTTTCGCTCACTTTAGTCATCATCAATAAAACGAGACTTTTATTGACATCTGACAAACAAACATTTGAAAAACTCCACCATACAATACAGGTTTTACCATAAAAATGTTATTTCCTGGGTTAATATTTCAATATGTACTTCTCAACAAAAAGAAAACACTAATCACACTCAAAACCTTCTATCTAATCAAGGGACACATGTGGAAACAGAGCTTTTTCATAGCTGAAGTTTAAGCTATTAAAACTATCTGATCAGATGTATGTATTGCTGATGACAAAGGGAGTCTCATATTTGGCATTTTTCTCCCCATCCTCCCTGATACTATAAAAAGATCAGATTCTGTGGGTAACAGAAAAATGACAAATTTCAGATGCTACTATTCAAAAGTTTTCTGCAAAATTAAAGTGCCACACCCCGATGATCATTCCATTGAAATGATTTCAAATCACTGCACAGAAATCTAGCTCCTATCAAATAATATAAAAAATAAATCACACATTTGACACAGATTCCAGAGGGCCAGAACAGAACCACAATCTTTATAGAAAATGACTTTTTACAGAGATGACATCCAAGGAAATACCTTTTACAGCGAGCACATTGGGGGACTTTTAGCAACAGACTACATCTTCATGCAGCGCTATTTCCTCACATGAAACAAAAAGCCGGACCAAGACTGAGATCACGGCCCACAGACTGAGGGCAGCTTGGCAGAGCGGCTCCCAGGCTGCCCTGGCCCACATTCTGTCCTGCTTCCTCTTGGTGTTCATGGCTCAGCTTCACTTAAATTGTATAAAATCAGATTCTAATGTCACATAACCTTGATCCATACATTATCATTTCCCTTTACATTTCGGAGCCTAGTAAATATTTCTGAAATGTTTAGACTAGTATGCAATGAAAAACTAACATTATACAAACCACAAAGTCTGTTCATTTCTTGAGATCAATGAATTAGGTCTAATTTGCTCCTTGTATTAATAAAGGTGACAATAAAAAGCTTTAATTTAACTGAAATTAAAAAGTACAAAATTTAACACAATCACAGCTTTACTTACATCAACATGAACATGCACGCATCACTTCCAATTGTTCTTTTTAATACTTCAGGATCAGTAATGTCAGCAACCTACATAAACAGCAGCACAATGGATAGAATGTAAACGAGACTGCCTGAAATTCTATCATTGGCTCAACTTTTAAGGGTTACAATGAAACTATGTACAGTGTATAAAGCTTGTCAAACTGGGTATGGTCTTAGGCCATTACTACTGTTACAGTCCAATTTGGATTTTAATATAACCAACTTATAGATCTGAAATAAAAGCACTGCTTAATGGTTTCAGATGCATTTTGGTATTTAATATGTTTCAAGGCATCTTTACAAATAATAAATTAAAACTATGACAAGGAGAACCTGTGAATAAAGCTTCTTACATGGACATAGCATGGCGACTGCAAGTGCTGTCAGAGACAATTCCATGAATCAAAAGTCATAACCACATCTGGATTTTAATCTTTAGAACAAGCAAAACTAAGTAGCACACACATGAGTATTTTAATATAACCTTAATGGTCTAACAAACCTTCCAAACGGAAGGAAATATAAAATAAAGTCAACCTATCCAATGTAACTTACAGTGATGGGCTTCAGGACTGCAGAAATCCCAGGCCACCTGCCAACTACCTGCAGAACCACCTGCTGCCGAACGCGCTGACTGCAGATGAACCACCTGCTGCCGAAGTGCCTGACCCCAGGCGGCTGCCCCACAGGCGCGCACGCGGAGCTTCCGGAACCTACGGCTTTACTGGCGCCTTCGCTATGCGCTTAATACTGGCATTTCACAGGCTCGCTCCTTGTAGTGAATCTGAGCGTAATCGACTTCCATAGAGAAGCACGTAGCTAAACCAAATTAATAATATTGAATCTTCCACACATGGTCTCCAATAGGAGTATTTTGTTTAGTATAATGAAAACTTAATTTTTTTTTTTTTTGCGGAACGCGGGCTTCTCACTGCTGTGGCCTCTCCCGTTGCAGAGCACAGGCTCCGGACGTGCAGGCTCAGCGGCCGTGGCTCACGGGCCCAGCCGCTCCGCGGCATGTGGGATCTTCCCGGACCGGGGCACGAACCCGTGTCCCCTGCATCGGCAGGCGGACTCCCAACCACTGCGCCACCAGGGAAGCCCAACAGTTAATTTTTTTTAATATCTGTAATCTTCTTGGAACACAGGCACCAACAGGGAGCAGACATTCCAGCAAAGAGAGATTGTCCAGGAAAAAAAAAAAAAAGAACTGATCAGAGTCCTTTGTCCTTTGCTGATTAGAATACTTCCTTCTTTCGTCGCCTAGGCAACATCTTCCAGATAATCCGCAACGTCACTGAGCTGGGACACAGTCAGGTCCTGTGTCAGGTCATCAAGCTTAGTTGTTCAAAAGAAAGAAAAGAACTAGTGTCAGGATGCAAGCAGCATCTTAAACAATGTTTAACATCTACGCTGTAGCTTAAGCGCCGTCTTAGGCTCTACAAACTGCTGCACAGCCAGAAGTCCTCGCCCTCACTTTCTTCTTCCTTTTCTGAGATTTTTTTGAAAGCTGAGCTAACAGTTGAACTCTACATGAACAAGAAGACTGGCTGTTAAAATAAGCCACCTGTAGCTCTTTTCGTAACATTAAAGCAACATTTTCAGGCCTCTTTAGGATGACATAAGGTAAAAAGAGAAAGACAAATCATTACAAACTTATACCGTCTCAGGAATTAGAGAAGGCATGTTATATATTATCACTTAACCTTCAGAACAAGCCTGTGAGGGAGGCACTGACACCTCCTCTCACGAATAAAGAAACTGAGGATCAAAGGTTGCAGCTCGCCTGAGAAAGCACATACATAAAAGAATAGGAACGCGGGCCCAGATTCATTATAAAATGCTGCTTCTCTCAAAGGCCTTCTCCCTACATGGTAGTCCTTGACAGTCACAAGCACTTGGAGAGTCCTTCCTCATTCTGGAAAGCAAGGTTCACCTCCAGGCTGTAGCGACCTACAACCTCAAAGGCAGACTCACCCACAGTTTACCGTGGGCACTGATATCTGATCCTGAGATGCTACCTTACATCTCAGATCTATCATACACCTAAGTATCTGCTCTCTGCCAAGAAAAGGTCAAATGTGATCTCCAAAATGCACTCCTAATTTTACACCCTGACTCCCCGTTTCTGCTGTCTTGTCTCCATGCCTGCTCAGAACACTCCACACCCCAGTCTCTGCTTCAGCTCCTGAATTCACAGGGCTCTTATATACACATAAACCTTCAATACTGACGTCTCTGAAAAGGACCTCCTACCTACAGTGTCTACACCCTGAAGTGGTCGATTCTGACTCTCATCCTGACCCACCCTGGCCCAGTTTTACACCCACAGCAATTGAAGCCCCAGTAATAACACGCCAGCATTTCACAAGCACTCAGTTAACAAAGCAGGCGACAACTGAAAACAATTTTACACATTCATTATAGACATTCTTTTTAGATTTGGACCAGGAAACTCCGTCATAAACTTTACAGAATTTTCAACTGCTTTTCTCCTAGTTAGTATAATTTTTTTTTTTATTGGCGTATAATTGCTTCACAATGTTGTGTTAGTTTCTGCCGCACAGCAAAGTGAATCAGCCCTACGTGTACACACATCCCCTCCCCCTTAGACCTCCCTCCCCGCCGCCCATCCCACCCATCTAGGCCATCACAGAGCTCCGAGCTGAGCTCCCTGTGCTATACAGCAGGTTCCCACTAGCTATCTATTTTACACATGCTAGTGTATTTATGTCAAACCTAATCTCCCAGTTCATCCCACCCTCCCCCCTTCCCCTCCTGTGTCCCATATCTGTTCCCTAAGTCTGCCTTTCTATTCCTGCCCTGCAAAAAGTATAAAGTTTTGAAGCTTTACGGTAACTCAAGGCAACAGGCACAGATAGCGCTCCATGGGAGAAGCACATCATACTTTATCGCTGGTATTGACGTCATCTATTTCCACAGAGAGGTCTTCCTCGATCTCTTCACCAATACTTAGCTCACTTTTTTCTGAGCGATGGCTGGTACTAATTTCAGGGGAAAAAAAAAGAAAAATAAGAACTTTGAATATAAACATTTAGAGAGAGTAACTAGCATTCTTCAATCTTTCATGTAATTATTTTAATTCTTTAAATAAAATAGAATAAACTATTACACATCATTAATTCCATACATCTCATCTCACTTGAGCCTTAAAATAACTCAGCAAGGGCACAGGAATAGTCCAGTCCATTTACCATTTACCACTAGCTTCATACTAGTGACTATGGTCACAATGGCATGAAAGAAGCAAACCCAGATTTTTAAAATTTCATCTCTCAAAAAACTGTATAATAATATGTATAATATGTTAGAAAGTAAACACAAATTCTAAATTGGGGGGAAAAAACTATCAGTTACATAAAATTCTCAAACTCTGATTTAAAATTTCTAATCCTATCTACAACAAATATTACTTCCAAATTAATTATTAGCCAAGTCATAGGTTATATTTTCTTTACATATACTAAAAAATTACCTGAAACAAAATATTAAGAAATGTCATGTGAATCAGAAAAACAATTTGAGAGGGCAATTTGTTTAAGCCTAATTTAGACAATTCCCACCACTGAGATCAGAAAGGGGAGAACAAAAGCACTGACAATCCAGTGGCCTAACTGCTTCTGCTGGCTTCTGAGTCAATCCTTCAATGTTATTTCCTTTTCTTATTCTTATCAAGTTCCCTGCACATAATATAGATGTTCTTATTCTAATGTAAAATCAAAAACACGCTTCAAAGTCCAATGTATAATTCTGGATTAACTATCTTCCATTCACCTTCAATCAATATGAACAAGAGAATCAAAGACTAAAATAAGCACCAATGTAATTCTGTCATACATTCCTGTTCAGAAATTGTTTACAATTTATGTATTTCTTGTCCAACCATTTTTCTTACCTATTAAAATCATCAACATAGTCATCTTCCTCTCCAGTCCCTGGTAAATTTAAGAAAAAATATATATGTTATATTTATATAAACACACCTCACAATTTATCTACAATTAGACACACATTTCCTTCAAAAACTACACTACTGAATTACATGGCATCATTAAAAAGAGCAGCTGGGCTGCAGTTTGGATTTGGGGGAAACTAACCATTCACTCCCCCACCTTCCTCCGGCTTCTGTAGCCAATTCAAGGACAAAATAGTCACTGAATAGTGGGCTGGAGCCTAACATTAGCCTCTGACTTCCTGGTCACACATACAAGCCTGCTCTGCAGGCCAAATCCGCCCACAACCTGTTTTTGTGCAGCCTGCAAGTTAGGAATGGCTTTTACATTTTTCAGTGATGGTAAAAATACGAAGAATACTCAGAGACTGCGTGTGGCCCACAAGGCCTAAAATACCCATTCTGCCCCTTCACAGAAAGAGTTTGCCGACTCGTGCTTTAAACATGTGAAGCGCCTGTCTGTGAACACGAGTGCCTTTGACTAATATTTTTGTCTCCCAAACTAAACTGTGCTCTAAAGCCTTATTCCAGAAGCGTCAAGGTTCTGAGGGCGGTACGGTGCCCACAAGTGCCCCAGGGCATTCAGAGGCTTCTCCTGCTGCTCCCGTTGCTGCTCCAGGCCACAGGATGGGGCACAACACCCCAGAGTTCCTGTTACACGTCCATCCCCATCAGACGGACTCCCTGGGGCCCGGACCACATTCCGCCAGCCCCAGGGAAGCGCCTCTGCCTCGGCACGCACTGTGCTCGCGGTCCGAACGCCAGGCTCTCCCCTCTGCCTGCCCCAGCAGGTCTCGCACAGCAGTCACTTCCTGGGAGAGGCTCCCCCATCGCCAAGGCTAGGCTAAGTCAAACTACTCCCCGCTTCCGTAAGGCTGTGACCTGACTCTTCTAACACTCTAAGTACCCGTTAGGCACCTGTTTAACACCCATCTTCCTGCCAGGTTTAAACCCTACGAGGACAGAGTCCGCTGTGTTTACTACTCCCTCCACCCCTGGCCGACAGAGTAACCCTGGATACATAAAAACCGTCCAACCATCTGTGCATGAGGTGCTCACGGTAGGTTGACTGACACTTCATTTAAGATTTTATTCTAAAAAATAATCGCCTTAGGGCTTCCCTGGTGGCGCAGTGGTTGAGAGTCCGCCTGCCGATGCAGGGGACACGGGTTCGTGCCCCGGTCCAGGAAGATCCCACATGCCACAGAACGGCTAGGCCCGTGAGCCATGGCCGCTGAGCCTGCGTGTCCGGAGCCTGTGCGCCGCAATGGGAGAGGCCACAACAGTGAGAGGCCCACGTACAGCAAAAAAAAAAAAAAATAATAATAATAATAATAATAATCGCCTTAAAGCAGTCAATACTGAAACTGGAAATCTACTTACCTAAACCAAGTGATCCAATTTTATCATTGACCAATTTAAGATCTTTCAAAATTGTGTTTCCCCTTTTACCTGTGAAGAGGAAAAAATATTCACATTAAATTGACTTTTAGAATATAATAGTCTCTAAACCATGTCAACTTTTTTTTGCAGTACAGGGTTTGTTGATACATCATAACCGAAAACTAAGAAGAAAATTACAAACTGTGATTAATTACACTGCATTATGCATTATTATGCATTACACAATATAATATGCTTACACTATGTATCACACATCCCTTTTTTAACCACACTATTACATATCCTTTTTGTAGCCATACTACTCTTTATTGGAACCTGACCATCAAAATCATTTTCTACCCAACTGTCAGATATCAGCCTTCTATAAGAAGCCCTACTGGGTATGAATTCAGGGAGTATAGTTAATTATTCTCATCAGTTTTATTTTTCCTTTGAACTTCTAAATTTTGCTTCAATTTAATCGCTATTTCATTTACCAAACTTATCTCCTCATTGGTTTTTATTTCTTCAGTCCCCAGTTCTCAATGCCCTCTCTAAATCATTATTTCCTAGTCAGTATTAAGAGTGACATGATCATGACACTCTGGATTCCTTCACTGAAGGTGACAATACCATGGGAAAGGAGAAAAAGAGGGAAACTGGGCCGACTAACAGACTCATGGCTAGTTTACTTTATGTGCCCTGGGAAATCCTACTACAGTGGTATCACATAACACAAAATGGTTAGTAAGTACTACAAGATTATGCAAAACCCCACAGCAATTTCCTAATAAAGATCTAGTCAAAGAGGCACATTTATACTCTAAACACTCTGCCAATTAAATCCTATATTTACTATGATATAGTATACAAAGCTCATCTGCATGAATACATGTTTAAGGCTTTGCTAAAATTTTAAATCCTTGGTCTTGTCACGATCTGTGTGCAGTAGCAGGGCCATTCCATGTCTAGCTAACAATCCCTACCTCTGCTGCATATAAAAAGATACATCTGATCCAACTCCCTAAAGGGAGAATAGTATTTTAACATTCTTACGATGATTACTGTGCTATCTACAGAATCTATGAAACAAAGTTTTAAAAATTAATTGTAAGTAAATCCTACATAAGTCAATTTAAATGTCCAAAAAAGAGAGATGGCTTAAAAATTATAATGTCTATTTATTATGGAAGATGGTTAAAAAGTCAATTTCCTAAAAACATTTCCATGGCATAGGAAAAGCAGAAAACAAAACAATATAGAGAATATGACCACGCTCAAAAGAAATTTTAAAAGTAAAATATTAACAGAAAATACCACTGAGTAGTAAAATTATGGGCTATTTTTATGACTTTACATATATTTTCCTGAAAAAATAAACAATGATCATACACTACTTAATTAATTAGAGAAAAATATATCATCAGCATTCAAAGTCCACGTCTCCAGTCAGCAAAGCGAGGGACTTCCAGACACTCACTTTCGGAGTCTTTCAATGAGGGAGCTCCAGGAAGGGAGCTGAGTCCACTTTTTAAGGGGGGGGCGTCCGAGAGCGATGCAAGGCTTCCTACTTGCTTACTAGGTTCACTTCTCCTAGCAAGAAACAAGTGTACAGTTAAATGGGATTCTTACATCCTGCCATTAAAACATAAGCAACTTGAATATATCTTATAGGCAACACAGGAGCTGGGAAATAAAGAATATACATTTCACAGATTCAAAATCATGAAGTATACCCGGCAAGGCAAAACAGACTAAATCACTGCAAATTCATGCAGGAAGTTACCACCTCTCTCTAGAACTGTGTGTGATATCTCACAAATTAAACTGCTCCGCTTCATCGGCTTCACTGTCTGGGATTTTATCAGAAGCCCCTTCCGTGGCCCGGAGATGCAGGCAAGGGACAGCGCAGGAGCTGACGAGCACAGCACGACAGCCCAGACGTGGCCCTGCAGAGCGGGCCTCAAATGACGCCACCAGCTGACCTCAGCACACAGCCCTGACCGCCAGCCTGCAGCGGACGCGGGGCAGTGCCCAGCAGCCCGCAGGCTCGCCCTCCGGCCCGGCGCCCTCTCACCTCCTCCAGCGCCGGCACGGAGGCGTAGCACTCCAGGAATTCCCCTCTCCCACTCTTACTTCGTTCATCTTTCCTCTTTAAAACCGGATCATTCTCATCAACACACGTACGTGCTACTGTTCTCGCAGTTTAACGTTTCTAGCCCCATGCCCGCCCTCCAGCCACCGCACATCCCTCTGCACCCTGTACAGGAAAACTCATCAGGAAATCACTCTGCCACATACAGTCCTCTCGCCTCAGGCTTTCTTGAACCCACGCTAACCCTTTAACACTGCCCCAGCCCCACCCGACGGGGCCGCCCGCGAGGGGCATCGGGGCTCCGTGTGGCTAAGTGCAAAGGGCGACTTTCAGCAGAACTTAACTCAGCTGCTCACTCGGGCCTCCTCCTCCAAAGACGCCTCTCCCTCTGGTTCTCTGGGTCCCCTTCCCGCTGCAGTGCCCCTTCCTTGGTAACCTCTTCCAGTCTCCTGGCTGCGACCTCAGCCAAGACTGATGGCTCCCTAATTGTCACCTCTAGCCCAGACCTCTCCCTGAATGCCCACACCCACACCCGAAAGCAGGCTTCACCTTTCCACTGACAACCTTCTCAAACTCGCTGGTCCAGAGTGAGCTCCGGACTGCCACGCGGCCCACCTGCACGATCCAGCCTCGTTCCCCCTGCTCTTCACCTCGATCAGTTGGAAAAACTCCTAGTTACTCAGCCTGGGAACCCCGGAGCTGCCCTTGATATTGCTTTTCCTCTCGCACACTTACCAACAAATCCTTTTGGATCCCAACTCAAAATACATCCCCAACCACCTACTGCTCCCCACTTCCGCCATCACCTCTCACCTGGAAAACCCTAAGAGCTTCCCGCCTGGAGACCCAGCAGCCAGGGGGCCCTGTCACTGCGCAAGTCGGACCAGTCACGCTGCTGCTCACAGCCCGGGGCTTCTGGGCCCCTCGGGATCAAGCCAAGCCCTGCGGTGGCCCCGGCCCCTGGCCCGACTCCACCTCCTGCAAGCTCCTCCGCCGCAGGTCCTCGGACCCGCCGCACCACTCACCTCTGCCTGTGCAGGGCTCCGGAAGCCCAGCTCAACGCCTGGCCTGCTCTCCCCTCCGTAAGGTCGCCCTTGAGGTGAGGCCTTCTCCGACAGCTACTGAGAACCGGCCGCCCTCCACACCCACACTCCCGCCCTCCGCCGTTCCATTCTCTCAGTTCCTGTAACACGGGCTGCATCTACGCGACACGGCACCTGGGGACTCTTTAACTTATTGCTGTTGCCGTCCAGAGTATGAGCTCCCGGAAGCAGAGATTTTGCCTGTTTCATCACTGTTGCACCTGTACCTGAAACGGTACCTGGCATACGGCAGGCACTCAGTACAAACCTACCTGCTGAAATCATTAACATCTAGGTCCTTCAAAACTTGGAATTGTCTGACAACATAGAAGGCTTTAATGACACAAAATCAGACTTATGAATTCACTAGTTACAGAACCACTGGTAGCTCATTATTTCTTAAACATAAACATTTAGAAATTCTATTTTTAAGCCGCTAGTCTGATAATATAAAAGCACAGGTTACTCACCAACCATAGGTTTTTTCTGGTTTAGGAATGGGATCATCAAAGAAAGAATCTCCTTCCATATCATCTTCATCTGGACAAGGACCAGCTTTGTCTTTGACATCTAGACTTTTGTTGCTTAACAAGGATCCAATTTTCGTTTCATGGGCCAGTAAGTGAAGACTACTTTTGCTCTTTGGTTCTGATGATGAGATACTGGGATCAGTCTGACTAGCATCATTGCTGGCCTTCTAGAAAAAGAGAAGGAAAGAGAAAAGGTCTCCTTGGCGAAATAAAACTTTAATAAGACATCTTAAATAATTAAAAAGTCACGTGAACATACACAATTCTGTATATGCACGCGCATACACACGTGGGGTCTTGCAACTGCGTGAGGTGCCGTGGGACCCCCCCCCGGACCTACCAGTTCAGCCCCAGACTTCAGAGCATAACTAACTTTTGAAGGGGAAAAACGTCAAACATGTTTGTACCATCCCTTTGCTCCCTCCCTAAATGCAAATACCTTTACCTAGCCCATTTAAACACAAACTTTCCCATTTCCTCTTACATATATATCACTGCTTCATAAATTACCTTAATATGTTTTCAACTCGCAAATAAAAAGCATTACTAATAAAGGAAATAAGGAAGATTAGTTCATTATCATTAGTTCATCACATAAATGAACCAAGCATTAAAACAAAGTGGTCGTCAATAAAACTCGCAGTTTTCCATCCAGTGCCAAATACAGTGGACATCAAGGTGAAAGATGCTGCCTTTACCGTTCACATTTCTAAAGTAAAGTTTTGCTAGTTTTATCACTGGTCTTAATTTAGACTTTCAGAGTAACTCCCCATTCCACACCTCCCTTCTACGTCCATGGATGCATGTATTGATGTATATGTTTCTATATACCTGAAACGAACGTACAAAATCCTCAAGCATTTTTACTCCTGTCCTACTGATTTGGTGACATTAGCAGAAAATATACTACACACTGTATTTTCTTGTTTTCGGGTAGCCCTAACCCTCACAACCTAATTTTATTCTATCCTTGGTCAGATTTCTTTTTGTCTTTAGACACTTCTATGTCAACAACAATAAAAATAATAACAACAAAACCAAAATATCATGATAGTAATAATAAAAGTAGCTAACATTTATGGAAAGTCTTCAAATGCTTCCCATGTGTTACCTCATTTTAATCCTCAAAATAACCTTACGGTGTGTGGGGCAGGTTCTGTTTTCTCTGTAGAAATGGAAAAGGAGATGTAGAGACACTGCAGTCACTTGCCAAGCCGGGGAGTAAAGGCGTCTGATATCAAAGTCTGATTCCAGAGGTTAGCTCTAAAGGCTTATGCTCTGCTATTAGGTTGAGTCATATGAAACTGTAGTTTTTATGGGTTAAAAATGACAGTTTCCCAAGATTCAGCCTTCACACTACAGAGAGCAGTGCTGCGTAAGATGCCACAGTGTGTGAGACGAGCACTCTCCTGAAACACGGAATGTGTACTGTAGTCCATACTCTACTACTAGCTATATAATTTTAAGGAATTTAGTGTTCTCAGGCATGAATTTCCTCAAGAATTGAACCGCAGTAGTCTTTTCCAAGTCAAATTATTACCAGGAGGTAAGAAAAAAGGGATGGGCAGCTGGGGAAAAGTGGTAATAATGCACGTTAGAAATTACTCAAGGAGACACTAAGGATGACTGCACTTTCAGTCTGTGTATAGACAGAAGATACTATGCAGTAAGATACACATTTATAGTTTTACACTAATTAGAGGCCATGGTTAGTTGACAGAAGGTAAGATATATGCTATATAATTTTTAGGGCCTTGTATAGAGCTATACATCCCATATGTTATTAATATAGATACATCAATGGTTGTAAAAAGAGATGTCTGGAGAAATAAATACCAAGTTATCACCCTTTTAGACAACATAGGATATTTTCAAAGAAGCAGACACATTTTCAAATTTCCCAATAACTTTCTTGAAGTTTTCCTATTATTATCAATTACAGAGAAGCACCATCCACCTATGTATTTCTTAAGTACATTCATGCCCATTATAATTTCTGATTTATAAATGTTTTAAAAATTGATTTATATCTTTTCAAAGGAATATGCATTTGGAAATAAATACCCTGCATTCTTGTGCTGTTTAAACACATTTATGATTACAGATACTGAGACAGTGAAAACAAAACATCCCTGAGAAAATTCAAAAGGACACCTGACATGAAACGGACAAATACAAATTAAAGCACATTACAGGAAACAATAATTATTCCAACAAAGTCTTTCTTGCCCATGAATTCACAGCAACATAATTTAAGTCCATATAATGAACTGTCTGAACTTAATAACCAATATATACCCATGATTATTTTTGACAGGTTTTAGTCTTGCTATGAAACAAAAGACTAGCTTTAGGAAGACAAGTTTCATGGAGTAGCACGTTATGATGTTCAACACAATATGTATTTTTTAAAATAATAATTTGTTTTAAAATTATAGTTCTATTTATCTATGGAGTAAAATCAAACTTTAAAAACACTCAATCTGCTTTGGAAGCGCTGTCAAAATCAATTTCTAAATCACATAGGAATGTGTCATTACTTTGTAACTATGGCTCATTTTTTATCAAAAAGACCATTACCTAACCGGGTTAGTAATGAATTCACTAAACTTAATTCCAAATATTTTTTACTATTAAAAAAAAATCCACACTAAGAGGAGAAGCATTTATCAAAACATTCTGTAGATTGAAACAAAAGTACTGCAAAACTTTAAGAGCAGTTTTCATGGAGGAAGTCCAAATTTTTTGAGCAACAACGGATCAACTCACGATACATATACCTTGGGATCTATTTATTTTTTTATTTTTTAGATTTTTAAATGGTAAGTTTAATAATGGAGATACACATGGGGTACAGAGAGACACCAAATACAAACTTAGAAAAAAGGAAGCTTTAAAATGTCTTCTTGGAGGTAAAGATGTCTAAGCTGAGTTTTAAAAATAAATAGAACTTTGAAGACAGGAGTTAAGGACAGGGTATTCTAGGCAGTGGATTAGCTCGAGTAAAGGCACAAAATTGAGAAACAACAGATATGCACCAAGAAACACAAAGAGCTCAGAATTGCTAAAGTGCGAAGTTAAAGCAAAAGGCTCAGCAGAATAAAGCAAGACAGGTCCCAGATCACAGAGATATTTCACGGAGGAGTCATGTTTGCATATTAGAAAGATCACGTGACCACGTAAAGAACAAACTTGAAGGGCCAAAACCCTGGAAAGAGGAAAACAGTTAGGAGGCTGTTGGAGTAAAACCCAAAAAAAGGTACAAGGGATTTAACTAGAGCTGTAGCAGCAGCTGGATGCTGTGTGTAAATCCCAGCTCTTCTATGTAACTTTGCACAAGGCCTCGATCTCCCTATGCTTCAATTTCTTTATCTGTAAAGCTGGCATAATAATGCTGACAAGAATGACACAATAGCATCCCATTTCGCCTATGAGGAAACTGACAGCTGGAATAAGGATGTATTAGACGAGACAGTTCAGACAAGTATATACAAGTTAAGTTAGCAGGACTTGGTAATGGATTTAACATGGGAACTGCGAGAGGAGTGAGATTTAAGAATGGCTCCCTGTTTCAATTCTGGGGACTATCAACTGATATTGAGAACACAGGAAGAAGAATTGGTCTGGTGAAAATAAGGTCTATTTCTTATAACTAAAATTGAAATAGACTGGGATCTGTTTACAAAACTTTTATCATGGCTTAAGACAAGTCTCATACACATGAACTTCAGTTACTTAAGTCTCTATCACCTAGATGTGTACAAATTAAGACTCAGGATAAACCTAAACAGCTAAGATTAAGAATTGTTTAAAATAAAGAGATGCAACCAAAAAAAAAAATTCGTATGACAATGCCTTAGAATTCATTCACTCCCTGACAACCTCAGAAGCCTTGGAGGTTATTATGGGTTAAACTGCATCCCCCCAAAAGGTAAGTTGAAGTCCTAACACCCAGTACTTCAGAATGTGCAGTCATTTACAAGTAGGGTCACTACAGATGTAGCCAGTTAAGGGGAGGGCACAGTGGAGGCGGGCAGGCCCCTAACTCAATATGCCTGGTGTCCCAACAAGAGAGGACAGGCACACACAGGGAAAAAGCCCCGTCAACATGATGGCAGAGACTGGAGCGATGTGTCTACAAGCCAAGGAGCACCGAGGACTGCTGCGAGCTGTGAGAAGCCAGGAGGGAGGCCGGGAACAGAGTCCCAACCTCAGGAGGCGGCAATCCCGCAGACACCTTGATCTCAGACTTCCAGCCTCCAGAGCCGTGAGACAGTAAACTTCCGCTGTTTTGAGCTACCAACTTTGTGGTGCTTTGTTACAGCTGCCCTAGGAACTAAGAGGTAATTATAATAAAACATAACAAAGTCCTGTCTTTCCAGATCAGGAGGCCTACTGCACAGCACTACAGCAGTCACTTAATCCCTTGGATGGACCCCAGGGCTAATAAGCTTTATGGTAAATTACAGCCAACCTGTAAGGAAGTCCTAGTGTATGTTTAATTTTCTACTAGCACACTTACACATTCAAGATTTCAATCATTCCTAGATTAACAGCAAATCAGCATCATAAAGAAGTTTCACAGAGAAATAACTACCAATTTTCCAGTAGCCAAAAACTGAATTATCAGTAGAATGTCTTAAAAACCTGGAAAAAATAATTTTGTTTTTCTAAACTAAAGGCTTAATCTGCACTGTTCATAACAGAGGAACAGCAAAGCCAAAGAAACATCCCCGTTTTGCAAAAGTATTCAAACATATTTGTGCAAAAAATTCTAATTCTCTTCCCCGCCCCTACTTCAGCCTGCAGCTCCCCTCCCGACTCCGCCAAAGGCAGTTTGTGACCCACGACTTCCTAATGAATTACTTAGAAAAGGAGTTTTACTACCATTGTATATGTATATGTGTGTAAAACACACATATATTTAAAGGTTTAATTTACTTATCTAGAAAGTAAACACTGTGGAATTTGAAAACCACAAAACAGACATACAAGCCCCTCTTTCTAAAAACTCAGTTTTTCTAAAGAAACGCTATCCCTATGCCGTATAAACAATCTGTAATTCCCACAGATGCACACGAGAACCAATGTCTGGCTGTGAAATCGGCCTGAAGATTACCCTCTGTCCAGCCGCTCTGCTCTCTTACCCTGTGCAGCCAGCTCACAGGTTCAGCGGACAAGAAGTCTGGGATCTGAAGCAGGAGGCCAGGCACAATTATGGGTTTTATGGGCCAAGTGCTGGCATCTTGTTCACCCACATGCATTCCTTCGTTGAGGGGGTGGGGGGTGTGCGCGCGCGCGCGTGTGCACAGGATAATACTGTTTTGTTCATCTACCCGAAGGCAACCGCAAAAGATGAGGAAACACACGCTCCCAAACGTACACAACACGTGATCCCCATCAATGCCCTAAATCAACATAAGGCTGGGTTTATCCCAGAGTTTTGAAAACAAGGAACAAATTTAGAAAAGTCATTTATTAAGAACTTGAAGCAAAAAAACACCTCAACACAAATCAGTTTTAAAACACCTAAAAATCGATTATGAAAAGGATAACCTTCCATGCTACATTTAATGTGATGATTAAAACGGCTTCGTGTTAAAAACAAACGAAAACATCAAATACCTTATTTAGTTTTTTCAACTGAATGGTAAAAACCTTAGTGGAGCCTACCAAAAGTCTGTTGTAATAAATAAAATGCATTTATTTTTTTCAGACAACTAGCACCATGCTTGGTACAACAAAATGGTTCACACCACAACAGATTATTACGGATGATACTTTGGAAGTGTTAATGCACATTTAAAATGTTTAACTCGTTAAAGAAATGCCCTCCCGTCTAATATTTATGCACCTTGTATTCTAACTCTTCTAGCATCCTTTATTGTCCTACAACAATAACAAAAAGAAACGTAACTTTTATTTTTACTCAAATTAAATTAGTTCAAAACCCTTAGATTTTGCTTTGCATATTAACGGGCTTACAATACTAAGTACAAACCAGTTAAACACGTAACTGATTTTTTAAAGTTTATTTCTGATATGAATATAGCTTCTCTGAAAACCGCCAGAGGTCTCTGAACGAGCAGTTAATACTTGTGCCTTCCCACAGGCAAAAGAAACAGTAAGACACAGACACTTCCTACTGGGCGCCCTGGGCTACCACTCCCAGCTCTGCCCACTCGAAGGTGCCACTACCTACCCTGTAAACGGCTCCCCCTGGAGCCTGGCTGTGGACAACCCCCATGACCAGATGCAGCTCAGGATCTGGATTATTAAGATGTTAAGAAAGTTAGGATACTAAGGGTACGGGGACCCTGATGCGCGCACAGGGCAAAAGGTGAAGGCAGAGGGAGGCAGAGCTAACGGCTCCTCTGCTGGGCTGGAAACGGGCAACGCTGGGTGCAACACACGCTTCTTATAGACGCAATTTGCAAACAAGAACAGGGAAATAGAAGGGAAAAGGTTTCCAAGTCACTGAGGAAGTGTTTTGGGCTCAGGAATATAATCGTGAAATAGAAGGGGCCCGATGTGCAGCCTGCAGCTCCAGAATAAGGCCTGTGCAGACTCTTCAGTCACCCGCAGAGCACGTGAGAGGGAGGCGCAGAGGGAAGGTGATGTCTGCGCCCTCGCTGCTGCGTCCAGCACACAAAGTGAAATGTGTCTCCTAGTGGCTTTGGTTCTACGTATCAACTTCTTTCAAATGTTTTAACTTCTTTAAAACTCATGACACCAACAAGATTTTTAAAATTTAATATTACGAAATATACTTTTAAAAAGTACAAGAGGGCTTCCCTGGTGGCGCAGTGGTTGCGAGTCCGCCTGCCGATGCAGGGGACGCGGGTTCGTGCCCCGGTCCGGGAGGATCCCACATGCCGCGGAGCGGCTGGGCCCGTGAGCCGTGGCCGCTGAGCCTGCGCGTCCAGAGCCTGTGCTCCGCAACGGGAGAGGCCACAACAGTGAGAGGCCCGCGTACCGCAAAAA